GCGGTCAGTGGTTCACCATCAAGTGGCCGATGATTCAATTTGCATGGCAGTGGTGCCGCCGCTGCCGTAGCACCATTATGGCGACGACGTATTTTCCCAAAGGAATCGGCCTAGTCGAGATGTGAGGGTGATTAGTATTCACTACGGCCTCGTACGACCACACAATCCCAATTCCACATATTCGATGTTGCGCGTGGTCGCGTGCGCTTCCACCGCAACTACGTATTATTGGATTAGTGAGTGTGGCGTCCGTCGGCAGCGGCGAACAATACGGCGATGCCTCGCGCGACCAGTCCAACGAGAACGATTTCCGATCAGAATTACTTCCTCCGTTACGTTGCTGTATAGCGACTCGTTTCCTGCCAGTTCAGTTCTTTTTCTTTCGATTTATAGAGATTGGAACAATGAGAGTAAATCCTTGCTATAATAGTATTATGTTAACGGAACTACTGCTTGTATCGGACAAAACTAGTTTGGCATTATCAGCTGGAATTGTGCGGTGTGAAACATACTATCTAAGGGTTTCATCCAGTAAGGGGGTGGGGGCATTGCGACTCAAGACGCGTAGCTTTCAAAACTTTGGAAAGCATTTGTCTTATTGTAAACGTTTAGCGCTAAGCCTCATAAGAGAGGGAGACCCCATGAGCAATCTCCATCTTGTCCGGGGCTCTCCCTCCCTTCCTTAGGCTTAGTCCTAGCTGCTCACTAGGTGAACATTTTTCATAGACGTTTATGTCATCCAGCACAAGGACACATTACACAAAACACCAAGAAATAACATAGGAAAAAAGCTGATAGCAGCTCGTAACTTTAAAGGACTCCTTGAGCCAAATTGGCATTAGAGCAGACCGTGCACCGCAATGCCCCCTCTTACCGGATGAGACCCCCATCTTAATAAATTCTTTACGACCAATTCATTAATTCGCATTTTTTGACCTTCTTTGGTGATCAATTCTGAACTGTGTCAAACACTCCCTTCTCTTGTTTAATGTACTTCATGTTTATTTACTTACTACAGCTTCTGCGCTTCAACTCGCACAGCACACTCGACGGTCCTAAAGTCTCCTAGTATTATGCTGTTCCGGAGCTCCTCATTACTCAACTGTTGTATAAGAGAATGAGGGATCAATTTTTTTTTCAAAAATTTCCAAAAGTTCACAAAACTCTAAATTTTCCAAAAGGGTCAAAAACAATTCACAGAAAGGATGGAGTTTTTGCACTTTTAGTATTTTTTTGGAAGAAAAATTTTTTGGTGCCTCCTTGTGTTATACAACATTTAGGCCCTGAAGTCTTATATTTCTCATTTTGTCATTAGATCGAAATTTTCTCTCCCTCGAGACTAGGGCAGTGTTGGAACGGCGAACTTAGTCTTCGACCTGCTGTAAAATGTTAGAATACTAGATTGTTACGTCAAGCTAACTCATTGTCAACTGTGCATTCTATCGGAATCTTTGTTTTTTTTAAATATTTTTCTCAATCAGCAGTCATTACCTTTTCAATAATTTCATTATTGATAATCAATATAACATGTGGATTTCTGGATGCGGCATCATGTGCGGATGGTTAATGTTAATTATGGCTTATTTGGCACAACGTGAAAAATGTCAAATAAGCCACAAAAAGAACCCCTCCATGTGATAGTATAGCATACTGTGGAGCCATACTGTGAAGAATTAGGGTGCTGAAAAGTGATGAAAATGAACCTGATGAAAAAATATGTTCCAGGATCCTAAAGCAAATTAGTCTCATTTTGGCCGTGCAATTGTTGGGCAATTGCATAATGGGATCTTTCAGTAGCTAAAATATGTCTGATACTTTTCTATTGTGTAAGTACTACAGTACACAGTTCTCTTCAAATAATATTTGTTTGCTTTGAATTCTTGCTCATTCCCTTTATACGGCTGATTCTCATCTCGAAAGTTTTTCCCCGCAGGATTTTCATGAACAGCACTATGATCTCGTAATATTTTCTCAATGACAGCGTGACCGTGCCTCAAATAATGATTGGTTGTCAAATGAATGCGGTAGCGGAATTTGAGTCAGTGTCAGAGCACAGAGAGAACCTGTCATTCAAGTGCAAACCGAACGGCCTTGGGAAGGATGGCATTCTAAACATTGCATGTGCAAATTTGTGGTTTTGTTCGTTGTTAGAGGTTGATTTTGCGGTTCTATGCTCTTGTTCGAGTGAATTTTGGAATCATTTGGTCTTCATGGGCATTGCCGTCCGATGTAACTTTAACAAAGATAATAAGGGCCGAGAGAAGGTGAAAAGTCGAATGTGAAAGTGTCGGAAAGCGGCAGAATAAATTGGCGAAATTTGCGGTTCGCAGTTCTCGAACCTCCCTTGTACAGTTTTATGTAAGTAGGTCTACCCAAGTTTGGAGCGGGACTTTATGTCTCCCATTAGCTGGAAGTCAGGAGCTGTAGCTGGTCTCAACCAGTGTTTCTTCCGCGGAAGCGCGACTGCAGAAATGCGGAAAACTCCTTTTTGATTTCTATTTGTCCAGCAGATTGGCGACGTTTTGTCGAATTCATTGCGTTTCATTGCCTTCGCTCGTTCGATCGATCTCTTGTCCTGCTGTCGTTTCGTTTTTACTTCCCTTTCAGCCGTTTCCGGTTGTCATCGATCCACATGTTCAAGGTATCGCTCAGTCCCTAAATAATTCTCCTATGGGTAGAAAGTGCTTCTGTACGACCTTGATCATAATCATTTCCATCTTCTTTCAATGTTGAGGAAGTAAGGTTCCCGCGAAAAATGCCCTGGTATCGCTGCTGCCCTTGTAATTCTGGTCTTTTTCATCGTATCCACTTCGATCATCGAAGTATTTCTGATGCTTAGGGAAGCCGTAAGCAGAGAAAAGCTTCTTGACCTTGTTTTCATGAAAGCTCTCATTAAAGTCAACAAAAGGGCTCAGGTGTAAGTTGTTGATCTCTACAAGAATCTACACGACCTTTTTATGTACATTTTTGCAGTTCCGTCTCGTCTATTCACGTAGGATTTCGCTCCAAAGGTTTCTCAATGTAATGTCCTAGTCGTAGCTTTCGACCACTGCTGATACGAACCTATCTGTAAAGGGATCCCTAAAGCAAAGAAGTTATACGCGGTTTCAAGCAGACGGTGCTCTGCTTGAAGACGATATCGTTTATCGGACTGTCGGTGACTTCGCGATATGTTTGCTCATTCGTGTCTCGTCGTCGTCAAATTTGTTTGCTCTAATGGAGTCTTCGTTTTCACATGTCACATTGTATTCGATCAGTTTCTGCATCAATTATATTTTCAAGCGGTTTAAAGAGACTTCGTGAACTCTTCTCAGGCCTACCGAGGCGAGCATTTCAGTGAACGGCTGCGTAGAGATCGTTTGTTGTTGCTCTCCCGTGCTTAATCATTGATGATTCTCTGAAGTTTTGTATCAAATGTAGTTACAATTATAATTATTGAGATGGTAGAAATCGTGGAGTGCCAATGCGCAACTCATGTCTCAGGCATCGAATTGCGGTCTAACTCGCTCCCAGGCCTATGCATTGTTATATCCTGTCGCAGTCGGGTTGTTAACGGCGTTGTCTGGAAAGGCGAAACATTGTCTTAACATAAGCTAGCTTCTGCGCCTACTGGCCGATGTCAGACTTTGCGATTGGAGCGATTGTGCACCAATTGCAGGAGCGACGGGAGATTTACACGGCCGACCACCGATAATTCGGCGCCATCAGCTCGTAAATGTCCCGTCGCTCGCAGCTCCCTGCCACAACGGCCAAGGAGGCACATCACGGCCCGAGCGATGGATCGCTTGAGCGATCCGTCGCTCCAAAGTGCGAGCGACGGGAGATTTACCCGAGCGGCGCCGTGTGTATCGGTGGTCGGCGGTGTAAATCTCCCGTCGCTCCTGCAATTGGTGCAAAATCGCTCCAATCGCAAAGTCTGACATCGGCCACTTCGTATGTCAAGATCGTTTGAAGGTTATTACGTGAGTTTTTAACACGTTGACGACATCGCGCGTTTTGGCATTTTTGGCCGCGTGGGACCAGAGCGGTTCTGCGAGCGCCGCCGCCTCACAACAAATCTGTGGATTTTGAGCTTTAAATACGCAATACTTCGATGCGACAAAATGTTTTCACTGATATTCGGTGTGTCAAACTTATTGGAAGGTACACATGTGAAAGTGCGGTCGAATGATGTGTTACAGCATTGAAAAGGCAAGTTTCACTTACTTTTGCTTTAGTGATTTCAAAATTATTTTGGACGTGGTTGTTTCGGTAAAAACACATATCTTGCCACACGAGTAGCTTTGTACTCACTTCTAATATTCTTTTTTATCTACATGTTCGTGTTAATGAAGAGAAAATGAGGAATGAACTGAACGGATATTTTCGTCCGGTCCGAAAAACCTCTGCCAAACTAAAGAATATTTGGTCATTCTATAAGCCGCGTGGTTCTTGGTTATGTTGTGGTATGGCCTAAAAAATGAACACAAAAAACCTGGGAAGAAATGGCGCGTTCAAGAAAAAACTGAATGTAAAGGGTGTGGCAACTATAGTTGCCACAATGTCCATTGCGGCGTGCAAAACGCGGCAAACCTAGTTGCCGCGCTGTCGTCAAAGGTGTTAATAAAGTGAAAGCTGGCGCATACACTGGATTGTTAATCTCGAGCTATATCCCTTCAGATACTTCAGTCTTATTTAAAATTTTTTCTCTGTAATCGTGGTTGATATCACAGATAATCCCATTCGTTGACCCACTATCAGCCGAGAGGGATCCTCCACTCATAGAAAACCTTGAAACTTCATGGGAGAAACACTCCATGGTCTGCCTTCACTTTTTTTCGCTAATCTAATATCTTCTATGTATGCATTCTTTCGCTGTTTGCTATTCTATTCTCTCGGCTCGCTTAATTATCCGACCATTTGCAAGCTTTGCATAAATATGATCTTTTTTTTCAGGCCTTTTTTCAACACTACGACTGTTCTCAAGACTAATACTATTCACTATGATATTTGCGTGAAGAATGACATCGATATCTGGTTTATGGACGTGGTGGTCGACGTTGATTCTGTTGCTGTTGCGGTTTACTAGTGGCGAAGAGGAGGGGGAACAAGTGAATATTACTTCCGTTACCGATGAAGTTCCAACAACTACCACACCTTCTGGACCGGCATCCGCTGATCGGTTGGGTGAGTTCCCTTTTGCGGTTTGCTGTTTTACTTTCCTTTTTCCCAAGATATTCCTACAATATGTGTGTTTTGCTTTCCTTTTATGGCATTTCTATATTTCTCCTCGGTGCGTCTTAATTTTATAATGATTCGCGCACCGAATGGCTGATTGATTTCTGGACGTGAGGGTTTTTATTAGCTAGTCAAGCCATTTCACAAGCGTGAGGCCGATGTCGTAGTTTGCGAACCGAGCGATTCGCTAGCTAATCGCTGGATCCGAGCGTTGCGCCAGAGAACCGAACTTTGCGAACGCTCGATTCGCAAACTAAGACATCGGCCTGATACCGACTCCTGCCTCACTAGCCATATTTTCATGTGAAGATCGTTTTTCCAGAGGTTTTTTGTGCATTCTCTCACTTTTGGTAGATGAATTTCGAAATTTTCCATCATTCAGTAGTCGTCTACTTGTTTTTTTGTTTTATTATGTTCAATAAACGAATGGTAATTCTTTCCTCAGGAACCCGCTTCTTTTCTCTTGGATTAATCGTTTGGAGTTAGTTTCCTTCATGTCCGAAGCTCCAATGAGCTATTAGTTCTAAAGAAAATCCTCATTTTGTGAATAAATAAATTCAAATGAATGGCTGCGCACTCTGCCTATATTTGTAAATTCCAGGAGTTCCTCGATGTGAGTCCAACTATGACTGCGTTCACAATGGATTGTGTCGGAAAGATGCTGATGGGTACGGTAGATGTTTGTGCCCGAGAAGCTGCCCGCCATGTAAGTGTCTTCAAATGTAAGCTTGTCAGTTTTGGTCTAGATCACTCTCGTTGTAGATATACCAATGGATTGCATGAAGCAAGGTTCTTCTTCATATTATCGTCTACGCCAACGATATCGTTACGAATTGCCATGTGGTGTGATGGACTCTAGTTACAAAAAGAAATACGATCTTCCTAGTCCACAGTGTCATCAGGTTTGTGATTGCTTCCAAAATATTCGTTTATTTCTATTCGCTTAATTGTATTTCTTTTATCTATCTTCACCAGATTGCATTTTCTCAGGATTTTGCTTACATACTCGTTCACGACATGATTTTATAGTTTCACTCCCTTCCGTGCGAAGTTAACCCTTTGACGACCGTGTGGCCCGCCGGTGGGCCACACTTTCACTCGAAGGCGACTCGTTTTTCGTGGTTTATTTGGCATTTTTTGTTTCAAAACTACCCATATACATTATCGGAATTCGCAAAAAATGTGCTCATTACTAATAATGAAATTGTTGGAGAGTTAATGGATATTGATGAAAAAATTTAAAAAGAAGTGAAGCAATGCACGCACAACGGCGGTCGTCAAAGGGTTAATTGAGGCGAAAGTTTAGTTATAGAGCAGCTCCTTTTTAAGTGTCTTATAAGAACAAATCCTTTACGCATATCTTAATAAACTTCGACCTTGCCAGAGTGTTGCGGTCGTTGTAGACTCCTGTCGTAGAAACACATTCTGATAAAGATTCCATGAATTCATCAGTATTCCATGAAATAGTAGGCAGCGGGAAGAGAGCACCGTTTCCGGCGGGGAAAAGACGGATATTCTCGGATCTATAGGCGCTATCCATTGAAGTGGTGCTATCTCTATATATCTCTCTTGTTATTCTTCCAATCCAATGCTATCTCTTGCACATCTGATTTAGTGGTAAGGAAACTCGCTCGTATCTCTCATGATCGGCTGTTGCGTGAAAACAAGTTACGAAAGAGATTTCACTGTGCACTGAAGTCACTGCTAAATACTTTTAAATATAGTAGAACTCACTTCAGGGCCGTTGCTCATGTCCTCCGATGTTCGACAATTGGAAAACCAGTGACTCGCCGGTATTGAATCTGTTGCCAACGAAGTGTGATCGAAGTAAGTGTTTGAGCTAAAATAGATTTCCGATTACTGCCGGTTGATCGAAGGGTCAAAATATAAACGGACTATTAAGTAATATTGAGATAGTACAATTTGTCAGCAACTCGGTGTGCTTGGTAGTGTAAGAACGAAGTTATTACGCTTCCCATACGGAATGAGAAATTGTTTGTTTCTTCTTTTCCCGAAGAACTCCAATTTCCGAAGTCGCTCTATGTTCAGAAGTTACGCTTATTGATAGCAAATTCTTTTGGTTTTACCATGAGTTGATTGAGTTGTAATCTATTGTCAGAGTCGCAAGGGTTCGTTCATCCTCACAGAGTGTAACATTCCTTCATCTACAGCTGGTTACGATTAAACGAGAGCAGATGGCGGTTTTGTCCGTTTGACTTTTAGCAGCGTCAGGTGTAAACAAGTAGCGCTATAGTCAGACTTTTCAAGTTCTGGTCTTTGCGATAGGTTAGAGAAATAGAGAATAAGTTTTTTTTTTGTAAATCAGCATTGGGGACAGGCAGGGGGATGGGAAGGGCGGAGATGAATGCGCTACCTTTCATGTGGCTTCGGCATAGGAGATGTTCTATGCTAAATCCTGCGATTATTTGATGCTTATTATAATTTTGATCATAGTACAACTCTCCGAGCATTACGTCGATAGTAGTGTATTTATGAATACTACGAACCCATTATATAGCGAGTGTTCATCGCATCGTAACGACCGCTACGGGCGTTATTTATGTGAAAAATCTGGCGGCTATAGTAAGCGCAAAGTGAATAATTTGTTTACTACTGTAAGTATTTGAAAGGGAAATCGTACGTGACTTCCGCAACACGGCATTTTGTATTAGATGGCTGAAAGTTAGGAATGTATGAGTGTAAATGATTATAGTTCTGGTTTTTCGATGCCTAAGTCACAGTTATTTCTTTTTAGGAGAGTTGGCTGTTTTGGGCATTGCATACCCATCGGATGCAGTGTACAAGGGCACTGATGTAACACTATACTGTTGCGTGAATATGGATCCTCAAGGACTGATTGATGTTGCTGGGGTGGGAAAAATTCTTCGTGAAATTTCGCATTCGAAATAAAACATAGTTGGAGCTCTTCTGATTGCACTGTATGTTAACTACTTTAGGTCTTGTTCGTGCAAAATACAACAGTTGTTCGTGAGCCAACAAATCACCCATTTCATCATGTAAGTGGCAGATTGATTTCCTTTGCCGTGTGGAATTTTCATTCAGTTTCACTTCAATATATGAGATCGTATGGGTGTCATAGATTTTGCATAGGTCCTTTTTTCTTTTTACCTTCCACCATGAAAGTTTTGGAAACGCTGAATTGTTGCGGAAAACTGAACTGAATTAATTTTCTCGGAGTGTTTAACCCATTCGCGACCGCGCGGGATTGCGCAATAGCAGTAGAGTCAGGAGATTTTTCTTCAATAAAATTTGAGTGGAGGAGATTTCCTCTGCCCAGGGCTGGCGTAGATGAATGAGGGTATGAAGATTCTTTTCATGGAAAGAAAACTTTCCAAATTCCATTTGAAACCCTGCAGCCACACGGTGGATGCCATTGCCCCGCTGTTGCGATCTACTTGGCAGCACAAGCGTTGGTGCATTGTCACGAATGGGTTGAAGAGCAAAATGGGAGGCGGCCTGTAAGCTTTCGTTTCTACTTGCGGATCTAATTTGGTCCCATGGGCGGTCAGAGTGCGCTTAGATAAAGTTCTATTGTAGGTATCAAGATTACCTTCTATAAGATCCAAACCAAATGACCAGTTGGGGCATGGATAAAAGTGTCATGAAAGGGTCTGGTGTGAAGTCAACAGCAAGGAGTTTCACCATGATGAAATACGCATTCCGAAATTTTTCTCAGAATTTTCGGATTCAAGATTTTTTGAGAAAAAGTATTTGTTATTGCCAAGTGGTTAGAAGAGGGATATGTCCATCAGCTGGAGTTCTATGATAATGTTATGGTATGATGTCCTTCTTCATAGCCATAACTTTTGTCTTTATCATTTTTTCTTACCTCGTCCACAGCCGTTCATTTCCGAAGTCACGGACAAATTTGTATTACTTAAGTAATTGATTTCGAGTTCGGTTTCGTTTTTATAGATGACGGAGTTTGAAAAGATGAATACGCCGTATTGCTGGGAGTTGGACATTCGGAATGTGCAGCTATCCGATAGCGGATCATATATGTGCCACGTGAACGCGAATCAACAGCCGTCTGTGAATTACACTATAGAATTTCAAGTAAAGGGTAAGTTTTCCTTGAAGCTTACCTAACTTTTCACTATAGTTTTGGCCGTCTGTTTAATTACTTGCAGTTAATTTCTTTTAATAATTTGGCGCTCAACTTCTTAATGTTAGCTCAATTTTTTTTTTACTTTCCTTTATTCTTCTCTTTGTTTTCTTATCATGCATATTTCTGCAATGTTTGGCAGTACATTAAATTTACATCCATCAAATTGCGAGTTTTTGGGATGAGGTATAGTTATGGTTTGCATACCTTATCCAACTCATTGTAGAACGTGAAAAGCGTCACCACATGTTTTCGAAAAGATCCAAAAAAGTGATGAGACCATCATCCATTGGTAGGTTTTGACTGTGAGAGTTGTTAGCGTTTGTTCAAATAACTACACTTTTCAGTAGCAAAGCATGTTTATAATTTATGCATGGTTATGATTTCTATTTGAGAATGTGGTTGCTGTATAAAATTCGCTTCGTTCATTCTAATGTTGTGAAGTAGCAGTTGAAAGCGTCGAAAGAGTAATATCCAGTAATTGTAATGGTTTATAATAGTGCACGTTCTCGAATTGCCATAGTATTGTGAGACCCGCGTCGTTCGTCTCCGATGAAAAGTTGCTGTTGCAATGGCTATCTGCAAACGCTGGAGAGGGGGGGGGGGAGGGCAGCACTTTTTCTTTGGCACTATTTTTTCGTTTTCTCTCAAAAGATTACAATAATTTTGTTGTGAGTAGCTTTCTGTAATGTTATTCTTTGCTGTGAATGCACCAACTGTCTTACTGCCACAGTGGAATTCATTGAAATTTTTAGCCCCTCGAACTATCCAAAATTTGACGATAGTCACGAACGATGTATCCGCTAATGTAAGTTGGGATGTCCAGCAAGGACCACAGTTAAAAATCGGTTTGAGGTAGGTGCTCGTTAATCATTTTGCACTTCCGTAAATCTAGCTTCCCTTAAATTAATAACATTTGCAGGTTGGTTCGAAGAACGGGCTTGAACGGCCAAGAGGTGTTCTCGCAAATGAATGCTATATCACCGGTCACAATTGGAAATCTTCGCGCGGCAACGCCTTACAAATTGTATGTGACTGTGAATGATAGCCAGACGGATCCTTTCGAAATTACTGAGCTTTTCAACACAGCCGAGAGCAGTGAGTCGTGCATTCCTTTACTTGGTAGTTCTCTTTTGAACTCACATATCGTAGTAATTGTAATTAGAAGGATTTGGAAGGAAAACAGGGAAGAAAAGGGATAAATCTCTGGTTTTATTGAGATTGAATACGAAGTCGATTCAGAGCCACATCCACCCAAGTACGAGGACGTCCGCGTTTTAAACTCAGGATCGTCTTTGATTTGTGAAGTGGAATGGAGAGCACCGGCTTTGACGAATGGCCGAATCAGCAGATATTACGTGAGTTTAGGTTTCAATCTTATCAATCCGACGCATAAATTTGGGAAAAATTCCTCTTCTCCAGGTGAGGGTCCAAGGAGCGGTTCGACGTATGCGTCCTGGTAGTGCACTTGTTGCTGATGATTTTCCACCGCCAACAGATGAGGAGAAATGTGCTAACTGGGATGAACGTGAGGATGCGTCACATGGAATCAATCCTATCGAATTCACCACAGAATTCCTTTCCTGCAAATATGGACCGCTCAAGGTGCGAATGTTTTTTAGAGCTGCGAATTCAAGGCCCCAGTGGTATTTAGAGATTGTATCTGCTGGTCGATAAACAGCTTAGAGATATTATTGTTTAGAACTAACCACTACAGGGGGGACTTTTTACACAATCACTGTATGGGCAGAGAACTCCGCAGGTCGCTCTTCACCGCTGGTTTTTCCCAAGCATTGTATCACCAACTATGCTCAGCCAGATGTGGTTCGTAATTTATGTGTCCTTTTTCACGATTTTATTGCAGACCTTACGTAATGACTTATTGTGAACCTTTGCAGGTAGAGAAACCTGTAACGTCCACAAATGCTCGTAATAACTTCCGTTTCAATTTGGGCCTTCAAATCGAAACCGAATCTGCCCATACTATGGACCATAAGGTATTTTTGCAAGTTTGTAGGAGTGAAGATCAGATTTCCGGAGAAAAGTATCTAAGCTCATTGCGTTAAATTTAGCTGCTACTATATCGGTATTGTTCCACTGCTAAAGAATGTGTCATTGGAAACGCTTCCCCCGCCTCAAGAGATTGTGATGGATACGGTGTCCAAGGTAATTCTTTAGGATTTTTGAAAATGGCTTTGATGACGTTTACTTATTATTTATAGGCCTTCAATAACAACCTCAATGCTTTGGCAGCTGAGAAGAAAGATTCTTCGCTTACATCGCGGAGAGTTATACCGAATATCCCGTGGATACTGTCATCGGGGATGGTCGTGGCGTGACAGGGATGAAACCTTGCAGCGTGTTGTGAGTACCTAAGAATACAATTAAACACTCAAGAAGACGATGAACCTCTTTCTTACAGATACCTGAGTCGATACAAGGCAGAGGACGTGGTTCTGCGACCGGGACTAAAGTACACAGGCTTCCTGATTGTGAGGGTTGATAAGGATGACAAGGATGAAGTTCAAGGAGGAGCGCACTACAGCAGAATGTGAGAATTTAAATCCATTGATAGATATCATCTGGGCTTTACTCCATGTTTTGTGCATATGAAGTGTCACGTTTTCCAGTTTGGACCCTATGCGGCCGCGTGCATACCGTCAGCTTCACCTAAGTGGCCCAGCCTATGGTTTCAGCGGTTACTTCAAACCGGTTTTTCTGGAGCCAGAAGACGGTATGTAGCACTTCTCCATTATTGGTCACTTCCATTTGATTACATGAACGAAATTTTAGAGAGGAGCATGATCGGGGCGTTCTTCACTGTGCTTGTGCCTCTATTGGCATTCTTAACGATGGCTGCAGTTATGGGATTGTTTGTGTTGCACAAGTAAGTATAGACAACATATAAAATGATGTGAGTATGGAAGTGTTTGGCTCAGGAACCACGCGCTGGGCCAACCAAGGCTGTGAGGAAAACTTTTGTCACGAAAAATGGTGAAGTTCGGGCGTGGGAATCGTGAAGCAGGCGTTTAGTGCAAGCAAAAATTCAAACTGTAAACTATTGGTCTGAGGGGTAGCAGAGTGCGTGCCTCCTATACAGTGCACGTGACGCACTACCAGCAGTGGCGATAGCATCAAACTCGTTACACCCTTTCCCAAAGTGGAAGTCCTGCGCGCACCTAGGCCTAGTTATTTAACCTTTTTTGATTATATCTTCCCCTAGAATTAACTACCGTTGCTTTTATCTGAATGCCTATAGTTGATTAGCTAAGAAAAAAAGTTATCGACTTTTACTGCTAGAACTCAATGCAGGTCAAAGTTTTCTTGTCACAGAGTTCGTACATGTTTCAATTCTATTATGTTTTGCGTACGAATTTGTTTCCGATGAAATATGTTACTTTTAAAA